GGCATTCGGAAACAGTGGGGACTTCTTGAAAATAATTGCGAATGGTTTGTTAGCTCATTAACAAGCCCTAAAGACCAAGATCGATGAAGTCTCGTAACTGATATAATGGCGGCCATTGACGATTCTATTAAGAACTGATTTTAATGTTTTATTTAATAAAATAGAAGTATTCAATGAAATAGCAGTTCATCTGATGGTAAGTGGTTACTGTAGCGCATAGACGTCGTCAACCAACTTCAAATAAAGAAGCCTACAGGTGCGTTGCTAACTCTGACAACTAAGATGAAATGCCTCACAACACTCTGTAATACTGGCTTTCTATATCCTTGAGACTCGAGCATAGCTCTGCAAGCACTGCCATTTCTCGGCAGAAACACGTGAAAGCTCGTATCTACCCAGGTGGACCTTAAGGCAAAAAAAAAAACTTACACGTAGTAAAAAATGATTTACTTGTAAGAGCATAGTCTGCGTGTAATGATGCGACATCCATGTTTTTCAGCCACATTGCCAGTATCCAGAAATAATTTATCACAATCTGCTTGGTGCGCAGGGGAAGGAATTCTCCTCCCTGAAACCGAAGCTGTAGTGGCATAAATTTTCCTTCAAAATTATTCCAGGTTTCCAGACTTATGTTTTGTTAGAGTTGATATTTGTTTTTTGTTAATAATGAAATATAAACTTTATTAATTATGAAATTTACAATATTCTTTTATTTAAAATACAAAATATAACACCACAAACTCAATCTAAAAAAATACCTAATATCTGACACTTGTGATGTTTGTACATATCCTAATAGGAATAATTTTTGAATACTAAAACATTTTCATGGTTATGTTTGATTAAACGGGCAAATTCCATTCATAACGTGGTTTGGGTTGTTACAAAGCCTTTGTCATATATCACTAGTGCACAAAGCTGTGTCCTCTGTCAGCCTTTCTTAGTAAAGCTTTTGGTTCTTGTCTATGAAATTGAAGTTATATATATAAAGTCCAATCAAGTTGTTACAAAAATTATATATTGAACTAGCGATCCGATTAAGAAACTCAAAGATCATTTATGTTATCGCTTTTACGTTTTTTTACTTAAGACTAAGTTTTTCGGGTAAATTAAAGCCTAGATCCCTTCTGGCATTGCTCTCTGTCTCTCTGTTTAAAAAGTTTCATCACAGTCGGTTCAGCCATTTCGAAGATAAGCCCGGACAGACAGACTGACAGACACATAAAAAAATAAAAAATGGTTATTCATGACTTAATACAAATAACGCCCTCAGCTCAGTGTAAGGCATTTATTTCAATATTACAGACAGTCACTTCATTTTATTTATTTTATATAGATGAATAAATGTATCAGTCATTATTGTCGATGTCTTTTAGCTATATTGATGAAAATGTATTAATTTCATCGTTTTGGAAGTTTGTGAAAAGTTATTCAAACACCAAAAAAACTGTATGAGGAGGTCCGACGAATGCAATACATAAAGGCGAGTTTCCAATCGAAGCTTTTGTAATTTTTAAAGAGACTATTTGTAGTATGTGGCACATACGCATAGGAGTAATCCATTAATAATTAAAAAATCCGTTATTAGGTCACTCAAACAGTGCAACAATTTTAATACAAATTATGAAAACATTCAGGTGACCTACTAAACGTCACACGCCTTTTTACGCTCGGGAACTGCTCCCTGTGCCGTGAAATTTTATACCTTTCGCCTTCTACCACGAAGCTGTTACATTTACTGTGTTTTTTACGTTATCATTTTATAAAAACACCATCCTCGATTAAGAATCAAAATGCAGATGCTTTGTCACCCCCAGAACAGCTGCTAGTTTATGCGAATATTCTGTGAGAGCGTGGTATTTCACCGGTCGAGCCAACTCATTCCTGCTTATTCCTTAATACAGCTGCAGCATGGCTTTATCACGTCTAAAATTGTTTTTATAAATTATTATTTTTTTCCTTTAAAAATGGCAATACCACGTAAACGGATGTCCTGTTATGTTATAAAACAGATCAGAAGTCTTGGCATGCATCAGTTCACTGATGACAAATTATGAATAAGTTTTACAACTCTAACATTAAGGAAAATAGACGAATGAATGGTTAAGGAAAATAGATAAACACTACTGTTATGTTACAATTTGGTCAACCGCAACCAAAGAGTATAGTAACTGTCCTATACAGGAATATGACCGCAACGTCCTCGCAATAGAACCCGTCACTATACGATCTCTTCAAATTACACTCCATCAAAAGAACGAATAAATTTATCTAACGTAGCAATTGTGCGATGTTTGTTTGTTTCCGACTGATGTTTAAAATTCGAATTCAGAGGATGAGATTTCTGAAGGTAAAAGAGGCAGACTTTATCAACTCAATTAATTCGATCAAGTGTGGAAGGAACCAAGGAAGAGCAGCTCAAGTACATCTCGCAATAATAATGTTTTATAGTACGCGAGCTGTATGCGATCAGCGTTGCTGGCCCATATAATGTAACTAGCTGATCCTCGCGATTTCGCCCGCGTGGATTATGTTTTGCGCGGAACTCTAAAATAAAAGTAGCATAAGTTACTCCTTATAACATCAGCTATCTGCCAGTGAAAGTTCCATGCAAATCGGTTCACAGGTTATTGCGTGATGCGTGTTCACGCCAAAGTAGCTCGCAAACGTACTTAACATAACTTTAATTTTAGCTATTGTGTTATTCTGATGTAATAAAAACAGTACATCAGCATATAAAAGCTACAGTTTAAAATTTAATGTCGATGATATAAAATAATTTGTCACCTTCAAGTCAAATAACAACTGCAAGGTATGCATTACTTGGGCCATTTTTATTGCATTGATCTTATTGTTACTAAAAACGTATAATATCTATCTGAATACAAATACAAGGTATATAGGCATAGGTATTACGTCGATAGTTTGTGGGCTTCACTCGAGAAGGCAACAATTGCACTGGAGGACCTACAAATGCATGCAATTCGAGTGTAAAATTAAATTGCTGTGGCTGGCTATGAGCGGAGCAAAATATATGTTAAATGTTAATTTCAGTTTGTTGGTATTGTATTCTATTATATTTTCTCATAAAGTTTGTATGCATTTTGAAGAATTCATAATGCATACATTGTAGCAGAGGTAGAGCCCCGCGGCAGCTTTTGCTGTCGCACGGATAGGCCGGCTCGAACCGGGGTGGTACCACTGACCTCAAAGAATACCAGCCTGAAGTAAAAGTTTACCTCTGGGTTTTGCTTGGTAAGTGCATTGGCCGGAGGCCCAAACCCCCCCCCCCCCCCCCCCCCCCTCCCCCATAAACATGGTAGCGGAATCAAATACAAAACTACCCCAGTATGGTACCGGCACCCCAGGTGACGGAGAATCTCTCACTAAGCATCCAGCTACATCAAGCTGTCCTACTCTTCCTGAGCGTGAGTGCTCAGGTTAACCGTTAACCGACTCATCAACCACGCCAGCAGATCCCATCCGCAGAGATCGTGATTCTTGGCGATCCCTGTTGGACCTTATGCTGATATCTCACCCGAACGGATATCAGATGTCCGTGAACGCCCTCTAGACTCATTGGACCATTGTCTTGTCCGGAGTGTGGTGTCACTCACACTAACGTCGCGCTTGCATTCTGCAGGGTGCCGCCGTGTTTGGCACTATAGGTTGGCCGATTGCGGTCTTTTTTTGCATTCTACACTTAGAGGCGGGTTTGCTTTTCGCAGGAAGATCCTAGCGTTGTTGATTCTGTTGCTGAAGTGGTACTTCAGCTACATTTTATTCCATCCTCTGTAGTACCCATCGGAGGCAGATCAAGCCTACTAACTCTGCTATTCCACAAGGCTGCGTGCTATCACCAACGTTCTTTATTTTGCATATCAATGCTATGTTGCAGTATTTCATGCCGGCATATCGCTTGCAACTTTATAAAGCGAAAGTTCGGCCTTACATAGATAGTGCCCCAGTGCCAGCTCCTTCCACTTGACCGCATCCAGTGCAGTTCGAATCATCTACGACCGAGTTCTTTCTGATCGGCACGAATCAATGGCGTTGCGTAGGGGTGTTGCATCACTTTGCATTTTCTATCGAATCTACCACGGGGTGCTCTGAGGAATTTTTTGGATTAATTCCAGTCGCCAAATTTCAAAAACCCATATCGCGTCAAAATTCACGTTACCATCCTCACCATCTGGATATTTGGCGGTCCAACTGTTTGAGGAGGCCACTTTGGCTTTGGCAAGTTCACAAGGCAGTTGATTGACAGTACTCACTCCGCAGTCAACCAACGATACGAAAAAAACAGTGGAGTCGCAGGGGACGAATAATGATGATATGGAGAAGCACCGTTCTCAAATCGTTACGAGACTGTCTGAGCCTCACAGTTGGCGGTGTTCAGGCTGCTTCGCAAGTGAAGATGGATGGACCCTAAAATTGTCACATAATTTGCCTTTATATATTATGTAAACTTGTAACATAGGCAACATAGACATGCATATCAAAATCTTATACGAGAAGGGGATAAGCACTCTACCAATACTGGTACAACTTGAGTTTGATTTCTGTAATTTTCCCGTAATCAAAAGAGAATTAATCATCAAATTTCGTCTCGTGGGAGTCGTAAGAGTTTGAAAATACCCCACATCGGGCGACGCGCAGCTGCGTCAAATCCAAAAGTCCAATTCGGTTGCCAAGTGTGACTATTAAGGCGAATTTGCCCTACAAGATAGGCTAATGTCCATAAGAGTTACGACATTCTCGGCGATGAAGAATAACATCATGAGGAAACTTATATATCCAGGAATTAAAACATAGTTTTCAAAGACACTGAATTATGTACGTACATCAACAGCGCCGAGAATTCTTTCCGAACAAACTTTCTTCCCTAAAATGTTTACAAATTACTTGAAGCTCTTCCAAGCTGATTGCAGAAATTTTGATATAAATGCGTGGAGAAAAGAAAACAATAGTTTATCCTATTATTCGTGTTTTTGTTTTAGGGTGAGCGTCAACGGGCGAATGGTCCGCAGAGATGGGAGGGCCGCGGCGCATGTCAAGTGCGCTGCTGCTGCCCTTCGCCCTCCTCTCTCTTCCACCAGTTGGTGCTTTCAACGCCACTGCATACCGAGTAAGTTTTCTGTTCTGCTGCTATAAGAATATAAATTTACGTGCAAATGTGCTATAAATGTACAATGGATTCACAAAAGATGCCAATCTAATGATTGGCAGTCTAATCATGCCAGCGTCTGCTGCAAAAATACCAAGATTCTGCCTACTACAACTGACGTACTGCGAACGCCAATTGGACTTTAAAATATATTGCGGTGTGATGGATTTTCTTATGCCTCCACTATAAATTTATTATATATTATATATCACTAGCGATCCGCCCCGGCTTCGCACGGGTGATTTCTGGATCTCGATAACAGCGCCACCTACCGGGTCCAATTGTGAATTTAAGCCCTTCAAGGACTCAGAATATACATCAACACCGTCCTTTATTTTGTATAAAGTTATTAAACTCAAAAAATACTAACCGGTTTTAAAATCTTTTGGAGCAAGCTTATTCTGTAGGTCCTTTTGCATGATTGTGGTAATTTTTGGTGTTAAATTAAAGTTTTAAACAAGTTAGCAGTTAATTTCGAATTCATGCCACTATATGCATCATGCTGCATGCAGCAGTGTCATTTAACGAGAGAGTAAATTTTAAGGACAGCAGGCATGTTCAAAGCTGGGGCTACTCAACGGATTATTGCTGAGGAAATTGGAACAAAACAAAATGTGATATCAAAGTTATGGTCACGTTATCGTGCTACTGGTGAAGTGGCTGAAAGACACCCAGGCGGGAAGCGCATAACCACCCAACGACAAGACCGATTTTTCTAAGTTGCCACGAGAAGACAATCAAATGTTACGGCCATGCAGTTGGATCAAAGGCTCCGGTCACAGCACCAGTTGCTTGTGAGTGGTCAAACTTTAAGGAGAAGACTGCTAGACCGCTTTTTACCCCAGCACTACGCAGAGGAAATCGTGGACGAAGATTACAATGGGCTCGTAAACATTTTGTCTGGGAAGATAAACAGTGGTCTGTAGTGCTGTTTACTGATGAGTCCCGATTCTGTTTCCATCCCGATTCGCGAAGAGTATGCGAATGGCGAGTTCCTGTTTGTGAAAGCCGTCTGTAACACCCTCAGGAAGTCCATTCGCACTACAGCGGGACAATTATGTTTCGAGCGGGAATTAGTTGCTCGTTTGAATCAGAAACAACATGACTGCTGAAAAATAACCAGGAGCTAGTACCAAATAGGTTACTACAAGAATAATGCCAAGTGGCCCAAGAATTCACGCTCATGCACGACAATGCCCGTCCGCACACAGCGCGAGTGGTGACAAGCTGGCTTCAGGAGCACGGCAGATCGGTCGTAGACTGGTCCGCGCAATCACCAGACCTAAACCCCATAGAGCACGCGTGGGACATGCTCCAAAGAAGGGCTTTGAAGAATTTTCCTGCAAACCTTGCAACTGAAGAGCACCTTTTTTTTCATCTTAGCAGGACCTGGGACAATATCCCGCAGCAATACTTTGATAACTTGATTCAAAGCATTAAAAACCGTCGCAGGATCGTTGTTAAGGTCATGGGTGGTTTACTAACTACTGATTTCTCTCATAATTTCAGAAAATGGAATAATGTTGCATTTTAAATAAAAATTTATTTACGTACGCAAAAAAATTGTTTTATGTTCAGCATAAAACAATTTTTAACTCCTTTTTTTAAATATTAAAATAGCTGTTCCCCGCGACTTCGCCCTTGTGTAATTTAGGGTTTGAATTACGTTGCGCAGAACCCTATTTATTTTCCTAAAATATAAGTAGCCTAAGTTACTCCTTATAACTTCAGCTATCTGCCAGTGAAAATGCCGTCGAAATCGGTCCAGCCGTTTCGGAGATTTTCCGGAACAAACAGACAGACAGACAGACAGACAAAACTTTTAAAAATTGTGCTTTTGTTATAATTACCATGTATACTTTCATATGCATTTAGTAAAAAGCTGTTATTTTGACATTACAAACAGACACTTCAATTTTATTTATTTTTATAGATATCGTAATATATTCCACGCGGGCGAAGCCGCAGGGACCAGATAGTGAATATAAATAATTATTAAATGTATCAGTTCAGTTTGAAGATGTACACTACACAGTTAGTAATAAAGTTATTGCCAAACATTCGTAGAGTTTGTTCCCTCGTGTACAACACTACTTGCCTGCCCGCAATAACGTGCATATACAAACTATTGCAATACTTGAAACCTGAAAGCCTGAAATGAGTATTTAAATGTACGACATGAACGTTTAATTTAAAAGTACAGCCACCGCTTGTCCTAGATTTTGTGCAATATTTCGTTATCCAAAAAATGGTCGTAATAAATAAAAAGGCGAGCAAAGTTATTACTTTCATAATGAATATTATTACTAATACTTGAAAATTAATTGGCACAGTAGTAAACAGCAAAGTTAAGATAAATTTCGATTGGATTACTTATTGTAATAAATCTATTTCAAAGTTGCTAGATATTATGAGATAAAATGTTGCAAATTTATGATGTCAATAGATTGACCAGCAAACTCGCAGTCCGACTACTGGATAGTAAATATTGGCTTTATTTACAATCATACAAGGTGAATATGGGAAATCCCAGAAAAATCTAATGACTTCCGATAGATAGTGATTTAACTATCTCGTTTAGACCACACATAAAATACTCGTAAGTGTCAAACGTGGCAGAGCCATGCTATAGACATATTAATTGTATAGTTTTAGCACGAATGGGTCGGTTCGACCATGGAAGGACCACGCTCTCACAGAATACCAGCGTAAAATAGCAGCTCAACACTGCTGTGTTTCGTATGGTGAGTGTAGAGAACCGGAGACCCTTTTTACTGGAAACAAGGCAATCCACGAGAAAAGAGTCCAGATAAGACAACGCATCTGCATTTGAATTCGCAATCGAAGATAGATGTAGATGTCTATGGGCCACAGTAACCATTTACCATCAGGTGGATTGTCACTCTTATCCTATTAAAAAAAACTCAGACGGCAGCAACACCAAAGTTGCGAGAGGTATATACTGCGATCATCAATCCACCTCCTAGGTGTAGCGATTATGATAAATCCTTCCTAAAACGGGAAAGGCTCATTTATGGTAGTAGACTTTTGGGGTCTTATGAAGAAGGTGAAGATACATATACAATAACGACAATATATAACTTAAATAACTAATAAACAAACACGTACGTAAAAATGTTACTAGTTCCTTTGTCACCAGCGCGACGTCGCGGAGAGTGTACATAAGTTTTTTTCAGCACGCCTGGTCTCCAAGATCAATAGTCTCTACAGCAAATTAAACAAAAATACATAGTCATCACTCAGCGGCTCATATTTGCGCTACTTGATTCAACTACCTTTAACGTTGTCCGGTCACAAAGTAGACACAAACTTGAGATTGAGACGATAACGTAAGAAAGAAAACAAACAACTGTTTTTAAAGCATTTTATTTGAATTTGGAATTGTAATTCGAATGTATAAGATATCGAATTTAAAACTAGCCAATATTAAAACAAAACTATTGGTAAATCCAATTGAGCATGCCTTCGCATTAAAAAAATACGTATAGCATGATTATACGGAATTTTTTAAAGTAGTTTAAATACACACAAGTTTTCACTAATCACCTTATCATACTTCCAATTTTCCGAAAATTTTATGTCAAACTTCAATTTGAAAAAGTTTGGAAAATCCAAAGTGCACGACTCATAATGCTCATATGATCATCATATCATCATTCATGTCACTCCAAAAAGTCTAAGACGTATTCAAGTATAAATATTACATCCTACTTACTTTTAGTACGTACTCCTATTATTTATTCTGTGCTTTTAAAGTATTGTAATAAAAATCTCTGATTATTATAATAATCAAGTATGTATGAAATTTGTTTTTCGAATATAATTTTATAATTTCGAATATAATTATCGTATATATTTGTACAGCGATCTTTTTGAGCCGCTGCAAACAACCGATACAGTATCCACTCACAACGGCGGTTAACGCCGAACTAAGCGAAAGCGATTGAGGCACAGGCAGTCTCTATTTACTGAAATAAATTCTAACACAAGGCTACCAAATCAACGAAAATTTCGCCATTTTGGAGCCGAAAAAAATTACTTATAGCTAAACAAAACAAAATTACACTGCCAAAATAGATTGAGTTAATTGATATTTTCAAAAGTTAGAGTGTTTACAAGCCTTGCGGACTTGATAAATCCACACCATAAGCTACTGAAACCCCTTTTTTATGTAAAAATAGCAATTAATCGATTTAAAAAAATATTTATTAGTTCAAAAATCATTTATCTTTCTGACAATGTGCTTTTTATATCATTTATATGTATAATATGATTGCTAGATACGATTTCGTGCGACAAAATGTTGGAATCTTGATTTTTAGGCGCTAGTAGAACAAACCTATGCTCTTTGCGCTCGGCATGCAATAGCAATTTCATAGATAAGGGCCAAATCCCTTTCAAATGAGCAATTCTCGTATATAATATAATATAGTTTGAAAATTCCAAAAGTGCACGCCTCATGAGGGTTTCATTTAATTTTGATGAAAAAATTAATTGTATTCCTGACTTTTAAAATATATTATTATTTACGTATTTTAAATTTAGCGTTCTATTATTAATTAAGCTTGCTAAAAAATATAAAAGCGCTTTTAAATTTTTAATAGCAATAAAACTTATAAAAGTTGAAAATCATTTTATTAACAAACTACGCGTACTACGATCTTGATATAAAATAAGGAACAATTTGATGTAATTCTGAAGCTAATAAAAAACCCGGTCTCGATACGTCAATTTTTTCGGAAGTTATCGTGATCACATACAAAATCAACATCCGGATATCCACGTATTTTTTTTTTCAAAGTAGCAATATAAAGTGATTTTAAAAAAAAATATAAGATGGATTAATTAGTGTTTTTTGATATATGGCTACTCATATTATCGTATAAGTGCAATATAGTTATGATAAAGGCTTTTTAAGAACACAAAATTGCTTGACCTTG